CAAAGATGTAGGAAGATCAAATGAGGGCCTCGAAGACAAATTGTACTTCTATGTCCTGCTGGAACTGTGTGCCTATTCAACTGGTGAAGGCCAAGAGACCAGAAACAGTGACATTCTCAGCCAATGAGGACTCAGATCATCAGGACTTTGCAGGGGACGCCAACAGGAAATGACATCTGAATGAGAATGTCCAGCCGCAGGCTTCACTGCCCATCAGAACCACCCCAGTCTCTGGGCTTGCTGGCAGGAAGCCCAAGCCCTTCAGCCTATGAGATGGACCAACTTCTCAGCAGACAGTGTCAGCCAGATGAGAAAGCCATCAGCTTCCCTTAACTCCCTTCCTACCACTGGGACGAGACATCTCACCTTAGAAACTGACCAGATGGAAAATCTGAGCAGCGTAACACCCCCAACTCGTTTTACAGTCGTAATGTACAAGCAAAACGTCACTGGACCCCTTGGCAAAGACTAGTTTCTACCTACTCGTTTTTTTAAATGAACAGAATTGTTGCAAAAACTAACAAAATCTGTATTTGCCAGAAAAGGTAAAATAGCCAAAATGGCAACGTTTATTTATTCTGCACAACCCATGGTCAGACTTCAACCTGGGAATCCCATTCCACCAAGCACCCTGCTCCCTGGTGTCTTCACAAAAAGCCTGTGCAACGTGAGTACTGAGCTTTAATGGAGTACTGATTATTTTGTCCTTTATACTGCAAAAGTCCACAGAGAAGTCCCAGGGATATAATTTGTATAGAACCTTACAGGTTCATATAACATCAGAACAGTCCTACATCCAGGCATGCCAGCAAAAAAAGGAGCAAGGTTTCTCAGAATGGCACTAAACCCTGAGAGACAGGTCTTTCTTTGGTTCTGTGCCGGCCATGGTTCTGAACACTCGTTTAGCCTTGATCAGTCTGGAAGCAGCAGCTTTCATAGAAAAATGATTTGCTGAACTAAAAGAACACTCCTCACCTTAATCACAATTTTTTTTCCGCTTCAGTGCTAGTGCTGGAAACCAGGGCCTCCTGACCCACACCTTAAGCTCAGAAGGCTTTATTTATATAAGCCTCAAGAGGAAGCCCAAAGCTTTAGTAATTCAGGATCTGCTGAGCAAGTCCACAGTCACCCTATTCAAGGGTTTCATTATTCTGTTGACTGTCTTCCTTAAGCCTAGAGCTTTCAAGACCCAGAAGTCTTCACGGCTAGCCAAACAGAAAAAAAGAAAATAAATAAAAAGCATAGCTCTTCATGCTCACAAGACACATCTGAGAAAGAAAAGTCCCGGCCTTGTGAAACTTGGATATTAAAGTTTGCTAAAAAAAAAAAAAAAAAGAGCTTTCGTGATCTGATATGTTGTTAGCTAAATCCCACCTTAAAACAATGATCCTGATTCCAGAAGACACTGGCAGCTCCAGTTAAATATTGGCTGCTTTGAGACTCAGCAGTTTCTATAACCCTATCATTCTCTCCCAACCTTTTAATTAGCTACTTCTCTTTAAGTCAGGAGTTTTCAACCTATAGCGGAGAGGGCTTTGGAGTCCGGCAGATCTGGAATTTGCATTCAGCTTACATAACTAGTTAGCTAGGAGGCCCAAATCCCACAACGTTCTCCAGTGCATCAAGCCTCAGTTTTCTTAGATATAAAACAAAGATAAAAGGGGGAAATGAGCTTAAACAGCAAGATGGCTCATCAGGTAAAGGGACTTAACTGCACAAACCTGAGAACCCGAGTTCAAACCCTGGGACCCATGGTGAACAAATAGACAAAGAAGGGGCACTCTCACTGGGTCACGAAAGAGGGGAAATAGCACGATTTTAGTAAAACATTCGATGCACTGTTTTTTAGTAAGGCCCCAGCATAATTTGGGGGAACCCTCATAAAATAAAGTTCTAGAGCTCCTAGCCGAAAATGACTGAGGTTTTAAAGATGGTGACAGTAGCACTAGAGAGAAAGCTCAGGCCAGAATGTGCTTGCCTAGCAAGACCAAGGACTCAAGTTCAAACCCTAGAGCCATAATTAACAAAACAAAAACAAACACAAAAGCTGAGGCCTGCTGCCTCGGGCTTCTAATCCCAGCACTGGGGATGTAGAAAAGGGTATATCTCTAGGGCTCATTGACCATCCACCAGAGCCTACAGGACAAGTTCCAGGCCACTGAGAGACCCTGTCTCAAACAACAACGAGAAAGGACATGGATGGTACCTGGGGAATAACACCCAAGATTATACTTTGGCTTCCACTGGCACAGAGGCACACATGCACACGTGTGTAGTAGGTGGTCAAAAGATGGTAAAAAGAGAGCATCCAACCAAGGGTGGGGCCTGGGAGGCTGCGCAAGCGCACAGGCACACAAAGAAAGAAGCCCTTTCTTTGAAGTGCAGGCTGTAGCTATCTATGACCATCTCTTAGCACTTTCCCCAAAGACAGTCTCTCCTCTGCTCCCCACCCTCCACATGCTCCTCTCAACACACTCAACTTAGAAAATGTTCCTGGGTCATTCCAGAACCAGGCACCAGCATCTTCGAAGTAGCCCATATTTACAAAGAAAATGACTCACCGAGACAGGGTAACCTAACACAGATGACGTTACAGACATAGATCACGACTGAGGTACCCTACCTCTGATGGACAGCCTGTGGCCGGGCTTTTCCTCTGGCTAACGCTCCCCTCTTTCAAACCCTCGTGCAGATACTCTACTCCTCAGTTCCATCCTAGCCTCTGTCCTTGAGGTCTCGACCCTGGGGTAGACAGACACCAAGGATGATGCCGGTCTGCTTTTACTTCTTTCTTCCTCTGCATTTAAAACATCGACCGTTCTGTATGGCTTGTCTCTCTCTTTTATGTTTGTCATTTCTTATTTATTTTCTTTCTACACACATGCGAAACCAATGTAAGCTACTCAGAGTCCTGTGCTTTGGTCTGTTTTTGTTCATCGTGAATCCCAAGTGCGTGGAAGAGTGTTTGGCACATGGAAGTTACTCGATAAATAGGAAGTGAAAGGATAGCTTCGAATGAAAACATAATAAAAAGTGGTCCACACGGAGATTCAGCCTTGCGCCACCACAGACAAACTGCACTAGCAGCTCCCCCACACAGACATCTTGAGTTCAAGCGCTAGCTGGGAAAAGTATCTTTTCTAAACTTGCCCCAGTTCAGAGGCATACGATCCAGCCATCTACGCTTCTTTCACTAGTAATCCACATACACATACTAATAACTGGCAGCCACCGTGAGAGGCATGTTGTGTAAGTGAGCGGTTCAGAAGGGAGACACTTATCTGGAGACCATGTAATACTTGTTGAAAAGCAGAGGATTGTCAGAAAAACGACCCACAACACCGCCTTACACAGGAAACCTGGGTTGTTACTAGGTTGTCAAAAGAAATACAAGTCTCCAGCTCTGAAGCTGTAGAGCTGTAGTTGGAGCCAAGCCAAGCTTTTGTCCTTACAGTTCCTGCCAGTCCCAGGTAGCGACTCATCTCAAAGCCCAGCCTGAGATCTCTCAGGATCCAGCAATGTGGCTGTCTGCACATTTTATTCCCACCCACTGAAAGACGGCCTGACGCTGTGGCCTTGCGGCTGCTGTGTAAGACATTTTATCGAGAGCTTGTTGCTGAAAAACAAGGGAGAGAGCTGTCTCTCCGCTCATGGCAAGCTGCAAGCTGCAACTCACGTCCGTGCAAACATCTGGAGCCCCCAAGTTAAAAAACCAGCTATGGTCTAAAATGATCAAGCTCTTTTTAAAGCACTCGAAGCACACCTAGGCTCCCTACCCAAAGATCTCATCGGGACAGACAGTGGGCAAAGGCCGGCCGATCAGATCACACTCAACATCTGGCTTTTGCCCCAGAGTGAACCACCACTCCCTCTCAACCCTACACATGGCTTCTTTTTTTAACCAGACCTTCTCAGCTTCCACAAATGCTTTGGTGGGAAACAGCAGGGAGGCCCCATCCCTTTTCCCAAAATACAGTCAGCCAGCAGCAAAGGCCAAAGAGGTGGAGCCTGCAGGCAGTTTTGCAAAAGTTTCAAATATCCTGGTACTGACCCCATTAACAGCACTAAGACAGAAATGCAGCCAAGCCTGTCTTTACCTCAGTCCCTCAGTCCCTCAGTCCCTCAGTCCCTAAGTCAATCAGTCCCCCACCCCCCAACTTCTAGGAATTTTGAACAAAGCCACAGTACCAGCACTAGCTATCACAAACAAAATTTTTCTCTTGCAAAAAGTTGAAAGTGACATCTTTAAATGATCCACGCTTCTGACAGCTGAGTCTCCAAAGAGGTCTCTGTGGGAAGGAACTGGTGAGCTGTCCCACCTCTCCCCGCAAAGCCTCCCTGAAGCACGAAGCTGCCTCAGATTTTCCGAACTTTTCAGAGCTCTTTCCCCTGAAAAGGGAGGAAGCAGTTCGAGGGTTGTGCAGATGAAGCAGCCAAGTGAGGCGGCCGCCTTCCAGTGTGGAGTAGGAAGGCTTTTAACACTCACGAACATTTTAAAGACGTAAACAAGAAAGTAAAGAAACTGTGTGGGGATTTAAAAAAAAACATATGGGAAGAAAATAATGCGTTAGCTTTATTTTGGAGAAATTTTGGGAGGTGTGTGTGTGTGTGTGTGTGTCTGTGTGCGCGCGCGCGTATGTGTGTGTGTTTTACAAACCTTACCACTTAAAAAAATAAATAAATCAGTGTAACTGGGCGGAGACATTATTCTCAAAACGCGTCCCTTCCCAGCATTGCTGTACCGTTAGCAATAGGAAATGGTGCCGCCGATAGGAAAACACTATAAACTGCTTTGGAATACAAAGGGTCACTTACTCGGAAGAAAGTTTAAAGGCTCCAGCTGTGCACCTACATATGTTCATAGAGGGAAAACTCCCATCCCCAGACCTCTTGCTCTGGCCATACCCCTTCCCAAACGCTGCCTCTCAGGGCCCAGCTGGTGACAGAACCCGCTTTTCTCCTCCCCTCCGCCCCCCTTTGCCCGGACCACGGGTCCTCACCGTGTGGTACATGAGGGCCTCAGTCTCCCCGGGCTCTGACAGCTCACTCAGCTTGCGGTCCCACTGTAGGACGCTCTGCTCCCCGCTCTCCAGCACCTCCATGGCGGTGGGCGCCGCGCAGGGCCGAGGATGCTGAGGCAGGAGGGGACCGCGCAGAGCCGCCGCGGGCCGGTATGACGCCTCTCTCCGCGTGTGCTTGCGTGTGCGCGAGTGGAACTTAGGCACTGGAGCAGGAACCCGGGAGAGTCCTGCCGAAGGCTCCGCGACCCGTGTCCTCGGAGATCTGTGAATCCCCGGAGAGGACAAGCCTGCTGGGATCGGGCGGGAGGTGCAGGGGTTAAATCGGGCTGTGCATCCAAAAAGAAGGCAAGAAGGCAGCTCTCATTCCAAGAAAGTCCTCGAGCAACAAGCCCACTCCCCAACTAGGTCTCCAGACAAACTTTGAGACTCCCTTGGGTCTCTAGAGCTCTGCCCCTGGATCCAGAGGCGACTCCGCCTCCTTCCAGGCCAGTGACCAATCGGACGCCCGTCTTGCCAACTATACCGTATCAAAAGTCTCTCTCTCATCCATGTCCCGCCCCCAGAGGCAGAGTCGCGCGAAGTCTCCGCCTAGACCTCGGAATGTGGGCGGAGAGGGTCTTTTACGTCACTGGGGAACACCTCCTGCCGGAGCGTGGCAACGGACCAATAGGCTGCTTGGGTCTAGAAATGATAGACTGGAACATAGATCAATGAGCGAAGGGGGCCTGGAGGAGCCAACCAATCAAATATCGACAAGAATACATTTTTATTAGAGAGGGCGTACGCGGCCAGTGTCTTCCCTAAGAGCCTCCACTTAAAGGAGTTTTGTTTCTTCAGAGATACCAAGCAAGTTGAATCGCTGTCCCTATTTCAAACTAGTTTAGGTCGCATCAGTCTGTCTGGATTTTAAAAAATGCACTACATATATGAAAATGCGCACGTGCACAGACATCTGAGTTATCTATCAGTTCTAGCGCACACTCTTTGCTTGCTTTTTATGTACTTTTATGGGCTTTTAAAAACAGACATTAACCAATGACACACGTTTCCAAGTTCTAAATCAGTAGGCTAAATTTTTTTTAATTCATAGGGTTTTGCTGTTTTGTTCAGTTTTTGAGACAGAGTAGCCTAGGCTGTCCTCAACCTTACTGTGCAGCTGAGGCCGGCCTTGAACTCCTCATCTCTCTGTCTCACCTCCGGAGAACTGGGAGAAATTTCAGGGTTATGTCACTAGTGCCTGGTTCACAGATCTTTTATTCCCAATGGAGTGTCAGACAAAAAAGAAAAAAAAAAGATGATGGGCAGGTGGACGCTATTTCAGATACTGGTCAGGGAGGTTACATTTGAGTGCCGTGTGGATGAAGTGGGGCTTAGAGGAAAGCAAGTGTTTTAATAGCTGGAAGATGCACGCCAAAGTGTGTGGTGGGGAAGAGTGCTAAGCCTGGACTCTCTTAGAGAAGAAAGGGCCTGCTCTATAGAATTTTCCCCCTACGTGATTTTTCTTCTTCCCTTTTATGGAAACAGCCTTAGTTGGTCATAGTTTAGCCATTTTACATACAAGGAAAATGCTGTGGTTCCAGGTGGTTCAAAAAAGGGGACAGTCAGGTATCAGGTCTACAGAGTGTTTGTCTTCTTTAGAGCAAGGCTTTGCTGAGTGAAGACATTCAAAAGTTTCAGAACTTTACACTGTCTTTAAGCAACAATTTGTTTTCGTGTAAATGAGTCTGTTTGTCTAGCCTAGGATCTTTTGAGAGTATTTTAATATTTAGACACAGATCTTTCTTTCTTTTATTTTTATTTTATCTATCTATCTATCTATCCATCCATCCATCCATCTATCTATGTTTAAGACAGGGTTTCTCTGTGTAGCCCTGAATGCTCTGGATCTCACTCTGTAGACCAGGCTGGCCTCAAGCTCTGACATCCTCCTGCCTCTGCCTCCCGAGTGCTGGGATTAAAAGTGGACACCACCACTGCCCAGCCACACATTTCTTAGACAATATAGTTTTCTCAACTTTCCCATGAGCCTTTGGTCTTTCTTTTCTGACCTGTTAGCCTCCTTCTCTGCACCTCTTTTGTAAATCACTCTTTCAGCATTTAAAGCCCTATTTCTTTCTAACACAGAATTTATCATGAGCAAATAAGGTTAGAAATGTTCATTCTCCTTAACACAACGGCACAAGCATTTCTCTGCCCAACATAGCTGCATCTGACAAAGGTTGATTCTAATAATGCCCCAGTGGTAGGCAGCTTCCACAATGGCCTCCAGGTGTCAGCACCTTTGGGTATATCCCTCCTCTCCTGTGTGAGCAAAAATAAAGAGAAAAATAAAAAGATTCTGACTCTGACCCTCTTGCTCTCTCCTCCTCTCTCTTGCCTGTTCACTCCAAGGAAAGCCAGCCACCATGTTATAATCTTCCCTGTGGAGAGACAGATACATCCAAGGAACAGAAGAAAGGTGCTCAGTTACCAGCCAAGGAATCGAGGCCCCTCCAGCAATAGTCCATGATCAATTGAGTCAGCTAATAGCCATGGAAGAAAGTTCTCCCTCATGTGGCCCTTCAGATGGCTACAACATGTGAAAGAACTGAGTCACAGATTGCAGCTGAGCTACACAGACTCCTAACTCACAGGTTCTGAGCTAAACGGCTTTAAGTCATCAAGTCTTTCCTTTGTTAAGTAAGGAGGAGGGTCATCCGCACCCTGAGGTTTGAGTAACTTTAGGTGATCCTAAAGACACTAGCATGTTCTATGGATTTCTTCAGCCTCCTCTGTCTTATGCATACTTTCCCCAATAACTGCACACAAGGCTCCTTGCTAGTATGTCCTCCTGTTTCCCATCTTGAATACTGAAGTCATCCATTCTCTTTCCCTGACACTCTTAGGGCTTGGTAGTGTAATTCACTGTTTCTCCAGCTTCTGAGCATCCTGTGGAAACTGCTGCACTTGTCCCTTCTCTATTATCAACTATGTGGCTAGACACCATGCTTCCTCAAACCAAACTCAGACACATGATGAATCACATGATGATACTCTCCTGACTTCCCCTGATAGTATTTCTTTTCCTGTGCCAGCCTCTTTACCAATTTGCTCTCCATGCTTGCTTTCCTGTCATCCCTGTCATTATCATTTCTGGAATTGACACTTGACAGATTCTCACATCATGAAAACAAAATCCACCTTCTATGTTTACCTGGCCCCATTTTAGTGGCACACTTTGTATTTGATTAACCAGCAAATGTTAATTCATTGAATTTCCCTTTTTCTTTTTTCATTAAATATTTATTTATTTACTTTATGCATATGCAGTACACTGTCACTGTCTTTAGACACACCAGAAGAGGGCATCAGATCCCATTACACATGGCTGTGAGTCACCATGTGATTGCTGGGGATTGAACTCAGAACCTTTGAAAGAGTGGTAAGTGCTCTTAACCTCTGAGCCGTCTCTCCAGCCCATGAATTTCCCTTTTTCATATCCAAGATTTTTAGTTTCTCCAAAGGAGCTGGTTAAATACCTATAAAATCCCAGACGGCATTTTCTGTACATTTATCTGGGTATAAAACTCTCCTAGTGAAGTAAATTTGGTCTATCAGTCACCTGTTTCTGGACTCATACTTACAGAGAAAAAAAAAAAAAGATCACGTTCCGTCTGAGCATGAAGACATGGAAGCCATCAGGGGGAAGATGCATTCCAGCCTGGTGTTTCTCAAGCTTTCCTTGGGTTATAACTGACCTCTGCTCTGAAGGCTCAGCCAAAGAGACTGAAGTTAACGATTGTCAAAAAATACTGCTTCTTCTTCCTTCTTCCACAGCTGTAACTGTTTTTAGAGCATCATGCGTTTACTCCTTGCTCCTGTATCTGGAGTGAGAGGGCTCAAAGGTGCCATGAGGAGCACTGAGAAGTCAGAGGACAACGTGCATCTTGAGGATTCAACTCCAGATCTTAGGCTCAGTGGCCAACGCTGTTGCCCACTCAGCCTTCTTTCTGGCTCCTTCTCTTTGGTTGGAGTTTCTCCCTCCAGTTCTTCAGGAAGGGATATGGAGTTATATAGTCATGTTTAAATAATTCAGTCTAGACAGTCATGAACTAGAGACAGTTACCGAAAGGAGAGTAAGCCAAACCCAGTCAATATGAAAATGCTGTGCGGGGTGTAAGAACCGCACACCCCAGTCCCATTTCTGAGCATGCCTCATTCCTCCTGGGCACTTTCCTCTCCTGGTTTAGCAAACTCCATCTCCTCTTCCAACACTGTTTTCACGAATTCTGACCAGGACTGGCTGTGCCCTTTAGTACCCCTGCTTCCTGTCATCTTTTGAGAATCTCCTCTCTATGTTAGCACCATTCTTTGGAAGGAGAGTACATTTTGACTAGATTCGTCTTGCCTTCTTTTCATTCTTTCTGCTTCAACACTCTTGGTGTTTATTTGTTTGTTTTTGTCTCATTGATACAGTCCTACTAGTCACGCATGCTTGTCCAGAACACTTGGTCTCAGATCCTCCTGAGCACCTGGGTCTATGGGCACACTCCACCACACCCAGCATCTGACATCTGCCAGTGGGACACATTTCCCAGCCTTGAGAAACTAATAATTGAGTAATTATTATAATTATGACGATGTAATCATCAATGAGTTCTTCCTTCTCCACTTTTTAGTTTTTACTCTTTTGTGCACACAGAGGCATGATGTCTGGGAGAAACTGCAACTTTTCCCTAAGAAATCTGAGACACTGGTGTAACCCACGTGAGAACGGAAGGGGTGCATGATCACTGAGGACTCAGCTGTCACATAGAGTTGAGCATGAGCCCTATTTTAAAGGCTGTGCTGGTTTTCGTAAAGAACCAAAAACTGTATCTGGGAGTAGTAAAACGAGTTTAAAGGAATGGGGGCGGGGGGGAAGGATGTGCTTAACCTGGAACTCCTGTGGTAAAGTTGATGGGGACCAGGTAGGTGGGGGTAAGAACATGTGCTGTTAAATGATTGGTTGGAGTTTCTCCCATAGCAAATACCAGGCTGGGCTGGGCTACATAATAAGATTTTGTCTTAAAAAACAATATTTTTTTTTAAATCAAGCTCCTACCTTACCACATATATTCCAAATCTTTAGGTGGGCTAAGAATATAAATGTCAAACAAAGCAAAACCATGCAGGGAAGCTAAATACAAAATGTGCATAATATTGACGTGGCCAGGGCGTGAGCATAATTGAGAACATGAGAAACACATATCTTAGGCTAAATTTACATGTATGCACACATTGAATAGTGAACGAAAATGGAAGGGAGGTTACCTAGAGGACTGTATGGGGACTTTTCTATTGCTCTGATAGGACACCGTAGCCAAGGCTATTCAGAAGAAATGAGTTATTTGGCTTGCAGCTACAAGTGAGGGGAGGGAGGGGAAGAGAGAGAGAGAGAGAAAGCGAGAGACTGCCTGT